GAAATAGTGAATATTAGGCAGAAAGTTTAGCATACTGTGGAAAGACAGTTGAACCCAAACCGAGTACAGCCTGTCCCTTTAATCGGAGGCAGGAGGTTTCAAGTTTCCTCAGGCTTCATCACAAAGAACCCATGTCTAACAGTAAGCGCAAAATTCTGCATTTTACCTCCTCACGCTAGCTATACAAGAATAAGTACCTTGCCGATAAATTGCCCATTTTATTCATGCGCCTCTCTCTTACNGTGCACGAGAAGCAGTCCCTCTCCCTCCATTATACTTCAAACTGTCATATGAGTTTTTTCTGATTCAAAATTCTGTTGATCAAAAAATTTTCAGTTGGATTCATTGGGTCGAAAAATTTGGATTGTTTATGTGCCTCAGCCCACTACCTATTCCAACACAAATGGTTTCACTCCTACACTGAAACAATCAAACATTAGAGTTGTTGTTTACATGAGACAAATCCACACTTTCTCTCCACTCACTTACCAAAAAACACTTCCCACAGATAAGTAACGAATGTTTTAAAATGGAAGAGGAACCACCACACCACAGGAGTTACTACACTCACGCTCAGCCGTTTAAACAGTCGTAAATAGCTTCAAAAACTCACGTCAAACTTCTACTTCGAGGTCGACACACATTTAACGGATCGTCGTTCGACGGGCAACTGTCATTACTGTCAAAACGACCTGTACCGACTCTCATACATTCTAGCATTTCAGATAGGTGTTCCGACGATGAGTACTGACTCTGAAAGCAATTTAATACTCAACCACATTTGAATATTCCGCTCTATCTGATGTGCAGCGAATTAAAGCGATATCCATTGAAAATCTATCTATTGTAACTACTCAAAGAATATTACACCTAAATAGGCTCTAACACAACCAAATAAGCTGAGGAACCGCCTTCCTATGGGACGTACAAGAATGTAAGAGCGAAATTCCACTCACAGAAAAGGCCGAGTTGCTGCCCGGTGTACCGTAACCGCTGGTTGACGGCAATGATGCCAAAGACCAACGGCGATTATCGTGCTGAGGAGCCATTAGTGAGCTACCTGTACGCGATGAGTAGGACCTGAATTACGAAAAATCGGCGTATATCATCGAAGAGAATCAAGAAATAGTGAATATTAGGCAGAAAGTTTAGCATACTGTAAAAAGACAGTTGAACCCAAACCGAGTACAGCCTGCCCCACTAATCGGAGGCAGGAGGTTTCGTTTCCTCTGGCTTCATCACAAAGAACTCATGTCTAACGGTAAGCGCAAAATTCTGCATTTTACTTCCTCACGCTAGCTATACAAGAATAAGTACCTTGCAGATAAATTGCCCATTTTATTCATGCGCCTCTCTCTTACACTCAATGATCAATGGTTTCCTATGAAAACATTCAAAGACGGGCGAAGACGTTCCCTAGAAAACTCAATTTTCCACTATAAGATGGAACCCTGACCAACATCCATCACAAATCCTATAAAGACTCGCCAGTGCTACTACCCCGTAACACGAGCCTGGAACATCGGTATCGATTTGAAGAAAAAATCTCTCCTTCGGAGGAAGTAAATCGGTTAGTAAATATTAGAAATCAGAAAAGTATTTCCCAACCAAAAGACATAGGTCCTCTGGTCGGGCAACGGAAATATTTCCGGCCACGTGAAAATTGCTAGATGGAAGCAACCTGGGCTAATTCGAGGTTAAAGATCATAAGATCTTCTCTATCCCAGTTTGTCTAAGAATCACGATAAAAATTCGCCAGTGCCATCTATAAGCTGATGTGAACTCAACCTGCACACCGACGAATTACATTTTAATCAGAGAAAAAACAGGAAGTAATAGAAAACCTTAAATTATTCCCCAAATTTCGTTTAGTCGATATAAAAACAATTATTTCCTTAAATGTGGTTAAGTCGATATAAGAAACTATACTCTAAGTGGAACTTGCCTTAACGGAACTCCCACGGGCGCTGTCGTTCTGGAGCAACCAGGGGCAACACTACTGCCCGCCGCGGCACGGACCGGACTGTGACATCGTGGAGCCAGCACAGGTGAAGTTGAGTTGTTAAGACTTCGTCGTGCAGCACTTGAACGTGTCGTTTGGGAGAGTGTTTGGACATCCTTCTAAAAAAAAAGACGGGTTGATTGAAAAGACCTCCAGGATGGAAGAAATGTGACACAGTTCTTGAGTCTTGAGGTAATCATGTTCTGGACAAGCCACGTCCTGATTTTCTCGTTTAGATTCCAAGCAGTGGATCGTAATTGCTTACCCTTCACAAATTTCTCAAAAGCCTCGCAGAGACAAAGAAATCTGGTTCGACTTCTGACACTCGGTACTCGAGACATCCGGAACCTACAGGTGCAATTTACTCCATCACTTATCGGGACCATCAGTTGCTTTAAGTTGCAGATGGAGAAATTTAATTCAAAATTTGTTTTTTGTCAGAAACTTTTCGGATTATGCCCAGTGAATGGCTGTCAATTTCGACTTAAGTATCACTTTCTACTCCTCATACAGATTTTCTTCCGAAAAACTAGTTTTTTTTTTCTATGGAGTGCATCAAGGGAGCCCTATGGAATCCCGGAGATAGAATAGACGCTGACAGGTCCTCGTTCCTGCGAGAGCATTTACACTCCTTACTTGTACAGAGAGGTAATGTTAAATGCGCAATAGGTGCTTTTATAGCTTATAACGTCCCCCTCCCCCTAACGAAAGTAGTCTGTGCACAGCCCACATTGAAACTATGCTCCGCTCTGCATTCTCCTGAGCCCTTGGCTAACACTCCTTCGAAAGATTTGTTATCTAGGCCTGTACAGTATCCAATAATGCGTTGTTCACAATGTTGTTGGCTTTAGCCCCAATCCAAAATAGCATTTCGTGCGTGAATTTCGTTTGTTCAAGCAGCTATATCCGCTGCGATGGCAAGCGCATTGGAGTAGGGGAGTGAAGGCAGATAACAATGGCGTCGTGAGAATTGACAGAAAACAAACGCGAAAACGCGAGCGCTCATCCCGCTTAGTTATCGCTGCCATGGGAACATCATCTGTCTTCACGTATTTGCTGATTTGCTCCAAGCCAATCTACTAATAATGAAAAAAGGCCTCGATCAACCACATCCCACAGCCAAACTCGATCTTGTAAGGAAGGAGTATATGCGAAGCCATCTTATGACAACTTTTGCTGGGTCGCGTCGTGCATTATCTCGTTAGGCATTCTTTATCGACTGCGCAAAGTAGCGGATACGTGACGTCGCCAGCCAAATCCAAAAGCCAACAGCTATTTGATGAGTTCGATATGTCCATGGAATCCCTAGGGGGCTGTGACTCATACAACACATTGAGATCGAATTCTCCACACTATAAGTTTCGTCACTTTCCTTGTAATCTCTAACTTTTGGGTACCTTTACAGAAACTCGAAAAAACCAAGATTCTGAAAGCAGACATGGTCTGTTATCAGATAGGAGGACCGAAAGGACCTTGAAGTTACCTCTTCAATTCATTACTTCCCTTTTCGAAATCTTTTGAATTACCCAGCTGTAAAATAAATCACGTTGCACTCTGTTTTTTCATGAAATGCTCAGGAAATAGAAGTGATTACAAAGAAAAAAAAACTGGACCGTCCTCAATGATTTTGATTGAGTTTTTTGACTAAAACCATTGGGTAGGAGTCATGGTGAATCGAGATGAATTTAGCCAAAGAACGGTGGATAATTGATGGTGGATATTGTAAATATCAGAAAATACAGTAAATTATATACATAAAAAGGGCAGCTATAGCAATTCATTCTAAATAGGGAGCAGGATTGTATATCCCCTATCAATAATATTCGAAATTATTATTGACTCTCCATAATCTTGGACTGAACAGTCTCGTTCACTTGCTCTCTCCTTCACCTACCAGAGTGCCTCTACAGACGCGGAAAATCCGCTGCAAGTGAACAGAATATATAAGATACCCATTATACCTGTTCATAGTTTTACTAATAAATTTATTAATCCGAATCTTATTTGAGATAACTACGGCAGAAGATCGAGGTCATAACTGCTATACTACCATTTTATTTCACAGAAGTGAAGTTTGTGCAATCAATAGGTATTGAAATGACTATGCTGAACGACCCTCTAAATTTCCTCCAAATTGGTAATTACCCCAGTTTGAGGTCCGTTTTTCGTCACCATCTTTAGCATAATCACAGGAACTCTTGCACGAGACAAACTGACAGATAAGCTTACATACCATTACACCAAGTACCTTTACATACGAGAAGATTTCCCGACATATACCACATTTCTCCACGATGGATATCAGCTGAAGTAAGGAGAGGATTTGAGGAGGACGAAGATCTATCATACGGGAAAAGGTTTTGAAAATGCGAGGTCATTTCATCAACCCAACTGAAAGCGATCAAACCCTTCTAATGTTAGCGAGCCCTTACATGCTCAGAATAAGCGAAATCCCGCCTTTAGTACTCCCAGTAAATGGGTCCCTGCAGAACATCAAATAATGCTGAAGCTGGCTGGCTTGGAGCGGAGCTGAAAAGTGCTCCTCATTTTTCACAGAAGTAACCCGACCCACTAGCCTCAACAATTTTTCATTTCCGTCGTTTATCATTTGGGGCATCCAGAGAATGGCATAAGAGGCCCTTTCCTACATGCACCTACGACAAGTGCATTTCACGCGAAATGTGGAAAGATCAGTTGAGGAGGCATCAGGAGGAAGTTTGCAGACAAATCTCGGTCTCAGCATAGGCAAACTTGGAAATTTTTGCGCTTGCTAATTCGAAGCTGTGAAATAGGTAAAAACATAGCCCGGAGCCTAATGCCGCAGTCCTAAAAAACACTTAATGTTCGCCCAGAAATGCATAAAGAATGCAGAACTTGACAGAGCAGAAATGTGTGAGCCCCCTACGATAGTCGCTCCGAAAGAAAAAAGAATCCAACTAAGACGGAACAAAATGCATCTATACAGCCTTACCGCACTTGATCACAATAGGAAGTATTGCGCAATTTTGATTCAAGCCATTTAATTCGAAACAAACTATAATATTCACAAACGGAGTGTCAACCAGTGGCTGACAACTGATATCCTCTCAGGGACAAACGAACACTGAGAGAATATCCGCTGTCAACCTCGTTAGAGGCACAGTGCACTCAGGGTGAAGCGGGTGATCAAAAAATTACCATATCTAACAAGTATTCTATCCACTTCACATTCGAAGGCAGCAGGCGCTTAAGGGTCCAATACGAGAAAACGACTCCATTTCCTTCTCTATGAGGGAGATCTCCAGGGGCGATTCGAATAACACAAGAATGCTGTTGATGTGAAAACTAAAATTACACCCATTTCCATGTCAGAGTGATGGACAAGAAGTTTAATTTATGCAAAACGTCCATTTTGTGGCTTTTTGAATGGATTGAGCCATACTCAGTGCTTCGATTTTTCGCTATAAATTATTAACGACTTCTACCGAGCAAGCCATCGTAAAAATAGGAAAACACGACATTAACGACGAACCCTGAGTTGCGCTACTGGTGAAAGACAGCATGGTGATAATGACGGCGTAGGACTGGCACCCATAGCAAAACAGCTCACCGACCGTCCAACGGTCCCCTGTGCCGGGTCCTTTAGACGAGACCGCCGGCCAGCTTCGCTGAGTCTGACCAGCATTGCTGGAAAACGTCGCCATGGGCTCTCTTCGGCACCAGACGATCCAAAAGTCGTCGTCGTCGAGCGACGCCCGGTGAACATTTCGACCACAACGGACAGCAGCGACGGAGCAGCAGTTAACGGAGAGGGTGGAGAGGCGACAACGAAGGCAGCGCACGACAATCGGCTGGCTTGAGACCGCGCGATTCCGACGAGCTCGACTGCATCGAACTCTCAAGGGGCTGCTGTTCAGCGGTCGTCAGCCGCCGCGACGGCCGTAGTCGACGATTTCTGACAAAAGGCCTCTTCTCGGTGTCGATTTACTGATGAATGGCTCGGAGTTTGGATGGCTAATGCCGCTCAATAGAAAACAAACTGCATCCAGTTGGCTTTTTGACTAGAAAAGACTTCATGAAGACCCTGTCAGAGTCTCAGATGCGAAGATGACAACCCAGCGGATAACACTGGCTTTACCTTGATCTCAGATTGTTCGGTTCTTCACTCTGCGATACAGATTGGAAAGGAAAAGCGCATTTCGAAGAATTAGTTTGCGGATTTGCCAAAGTAATAGAAGCTATAACTTCGCATAAAACAGGGTAGTATCCTCATATACCCGCGTATCTTCGTTGCAGGATATAAAGGACAACCCAAGTATTTCGAAGATTTTTACGACTCCTTCACATCTTCATCTCGATGAATCTACCTTATTGAAACTGATTGGGACTATTTAAAATGAGACCGACTTTCCGCAGCATGACTACCAGCTGTCTTCTAGCAGAGCTCTTTTCCTAGTTCCTTAAAACGACTGAGGGAATTTCTTAGCAAGCACAATGGTCATGAATTCGCCGTCACAACTAATGACTGGTTCTTGCAGAACAGAAAAACAACCTACACACACCATACATGGCGGCAATAATCCAAAAATTTATGACAGCGCACGAGGAGGAGGTCTACTGGGTTACCGCCTGTACCTAGGTCTAGAAATACTTAAGGCATGTAAACAATCGCTATTAGTTTCACCCCACCAAACCCATGACGAACGAAAATGGATAGGTTTGGGAAAAAAGTGGTATCTGGTTGCTAATCATCAAGGGAACTGGGAGAACACTGAATTCAAATGCGAACTTCTTTTACTCAATATTCTTAATCGAAGTCAACATAGGAGGGAGTTCCTGCTTTTCCGTTTTGACAGTCGTTTTCCCTGCTTGTTCGTTGATTTCTAAAATTCCCATCCAGTAACTATTATTAGACTCAATCAGTGGATAGATATGAAGGAAGACTCGGGTGCAGAAGTGGAAGTTTCCAGGCACAGCTTCGGGAACATGAAAGCATTTGAAGAACTTCATTTTCCACCAAATTAAGGCCTTCAAGGAGGTATTCGACTAGTGCATTCAAATAAAATCAAGTAGATACTCCAGAAGGAATTACATATGGTTTATTCGACCTAGTTGTTCAATGTTTGCAAAAACTACGAAGGCCATACGAAATGGCAACTCTTTAGACGACAGAACTGCCAGAGAACCCTTTCATGTTCCGAATCCTAACGCCCAATGAGAACTTCCTTCCAAAAGTCATTATTTTGGGCGATCCGATCAGGCCTAAAATATTCTTTGGTGCTATCCTCAGGATGAAAGGAACAATTTGTACAACGCCGATTTTGATCTAAGGACTAGGCTCTCGCGTACCAGAGCAATTCTAGCAGGCAAATGTCTCGACCGCCAATGTACAATTTAATATGCTAGACAGTAGAAGATAGTAGCGTGATTGGCGTGATTGCATCCACAACGCTCTCACCACAGCAAGATGCACTTTTTGGCGAACCACTTTTGCCATTTTTAACCACTTTTTTTCTCAAAAAAAAGGTAGATCCATGGATAGAGGACTTCTCCAACAGCTGTACTATCCACAGGTCCATTTCTGCTACACCCCCACCAATTATTTCGAAATGGCCTCTTCAAGTACTTCTGCGAAAAGGAGAAGATCTACTTGGCTACGGAATTCTCGGATCTGCTTTTGGAAGAGCAGGCGCACAAATCTACTGCCCGATGAGGAGGGGTTGTTCGTACCAGTGGCACTACTCAAAGTTCATTGAACTTGAGTAAATTTGAAAATGAGCTGAAATGATGTCTAAAATTAGAAGACACTCTTTTGCATTAGGAATCGTAAGCGCTCTGCGGTGAGCCGTTGAGAGATAGTAGCGTTAGTGCAAGCTGAATGAAGGTTCAAGAAGCGCTTCATAAGAACATGATCACCTCTTCATTCAAGCGTTACAACCCCATTGTATTTGAAAGTAGAAGTGATGTAACGCTGTGATCGCGAACTCGTGCACAACCTCAGCATTTTGATTACCGTAACATAGCATTAGGGAATGCGTGAGGCAAAATGGCTGAGCCAAAAAGTGCACGAAGGTACGTATCCTAAAAAAAGAATAAGACTTTCGCAATGAGATATAAGAAATGAGAATACCATTGACTCATTGACTTTGCAGCCTTTGTTTTACCGCCATTTGAACATGCAACTGAAAAGTCCCGGTAACATGAAATTCAATTTCGCGGTACTTGCTAATATGTATACCACCTCTGTCAATTGCTTCCAAACAGCTCGCATGTCATCAGTCACATACCCCGAACTCATGGAGTACCCCGACTGTTTTTTCGGATTGTCGCGAAGGCAACTCACTTATCCAGACGGCAAGAGGTTAACGACCAAAAACGGTATCTGTGAGCGAAGCTCAGCTCATTTGAGCGCGATGGATGATATTTAGACATGCGATTCAATTAGTCGCCACTTCCCTCTACGTAACACATCACGCCAGTAGTTGCGTCGCTAATCTTCGCACAACGTCAGCAGACCGATGCCGATCTCATGAACCAAGGTTCAACAATCTATTAATGGGAGAGGCAAAAAGTGACGGGTCAACGAAAACCCTGATGCTCTTTTCGAACCCTTCCACCGATTCATCAGAGTTTCTAACATGTGAAATCAAATGGCGTACTGTGATTCTCAATCAGCTGATGCGTCTCATGTCATATTTTAAACTCTTGATTACACAGTACATAAATAAAGACCAAAGACTTGCCAAAGCTCTATGGATCACAAAATGCGGCCTGACATATCATGAGCGCCCAGAGCTGATTTAGTAGATCTTCAAAGAGAGTCTAATAACGAGAACTGAAGAGGTTCGAAGTAGGCAGGTGTGTATGTAGTAAAGGACGGTACATTGGCTCAATTCTTCAAGTCAGCTCAATCCCAAGAAAGATGTTATGAATTTGAGTACCACCAGTACCATACTACTTTGCACACAACTCACCAATTCCGTTAAAACCATTCGGAGTACAGCACAGCAACTTAAAGAAAGATTTTGCAAACATTATAATCTTCTTTTGCACGAGTTCTTCTTTTGGGGAATCCTACATGTTTGCAGTCGCCATTCCTCTCATTCACTCGGCCTTTCAGTGCTGATCACGACCATTTGCAACCGAATAATTCTATTGGCAAGATAATTCAGGAAAAAATTATTTGTCATCTGGTAAAGAATGCCCGAAGTTTTGCCATTATTCTCCTCAAGTACCTTGGCTAATTGTTTACGATTCCCGTAAGAAAATTCTTAACTCCTCACGGGTTACTAATTCTATCCGCCACCTGACAAACACGATGTAAATGCCCAGGCAATAGACCTCATTGAAGCAATTAGACCTCTCTTCAGAAGAACAGAAACCACTCGGGGAGGATTAGTAGGGTGATCTCGGTGATGATTCACCAAGGAGCTAAACACCGGGCTGCTCTTACAGTAGGGAAAATTGTTGTGATACTGACTCACGTATTAACAATTAACGACCCGCATGTTGAAATTAGGACATCTTTGCAAGTCAGAGTCCTCAGTAACCTTTGGAGAAAGGAGAAACCATTTTCTACGTCTTTCCCTCTTCTAGATTTTGGAAAATACGGAGCAAACTAACTAATTCAGATCTTTCATAAGCTTATAACCAGTTACTGAACACAGAGGATGAGCTCAGGCTGACAGTTCAAAATAGCTCACCGTATATGATGAAGTCATGCTCTGAGGACGATTGTATGAAAATTCATCAAATAGAAATGTCGTGGAGCTTGATGCCGGTGGTGAGAAGTGACCGAGATTCGCGCCCATTCGCCTGGTCTTTGAAGGACTTCGACGTTTCGTTCTTATTGATACCGGCATCAGAAGTTGTTCTTCAATACAACTGGCACGCCGCCACGATGTCGACCTCCAGATGACGTGGGCTGGTCGTGCTAGAGGACCCGGTATCGCAGAGAGTGACGGTGCTGGTGGCATCGGAGTTGCCATCACCGGCAGGGAGCATCGGCGTGTACGACGTGGTTCCATAGTTAGGTCGATCCAGACGACATCGTGTCAAGGTGAAGTTATCCGTAGCAGGAAAACTCCTGACTCCGCCTTTTTTTCGCAGCTGAATATTAGGTAATCATTGAGAGGATAATGCGATAATCAATTAGCCAACTTCAACGTTATGACGAGTGACGAAAAATCGGAAAAATGAAAGCGCTTCCATAATCACCTCGGATTTCAGACCTGCAGGGAGTGTGGCAGAAAAGACATTTGGCCTCAATTGCAGAGGAAGAACGAGGGAGGAGGAGGAACAAATACATGTTACAAGATTAGAAAGTTTTGCTTTTACTGGCCTGACATTCTGAGAGATCCAGATGATTCCGAAGAATCAGAAGGTCGGCATTTCTAGTCGAAAGTATAGAATGGCCGACTTTTCGATTGTTCTTTCTTTTTTGTTATTTTTCTTTCTTTGTTATTTTTCTGTCTCTACCTATTCTGGAGTTTTATTTCTAAATTACTTACTATTGAATGAGGCGCATTGAAGAGAGAGATAAAGAGATAGTTACTTATTTCACCATTGTATATTACTAAATAGAATGAATGGACTTGAGAAATTTGGAGGGCAACAGAAAGTGCAGAATCGATTTGAAGAACTAATAATTTTGTATAGCCTGCACTTCTGATGCCTACGGAAATTACTTAGCGTTCGAACTGGGTAGGCAGCCACTCTTCTCCTCATCGATACCCTGCTGCCGCGCGCCTGATTTTTAAACTACGAAAAGCTAATGTTCAAGTAGGTTCATTTCCTTCGCATTCATCCTCCTAGCAGCACAGTTTGTGAAAGGAGTTGTCTGCTCGCCACGGAGCTTAATTAATTATGAAGCTTCATTTATAAAAATGATGGATAACTACATGGCCCATCACCCAGAAAAAAAATAATAAAAACCGTGCACTTCATGTACTCTAGGCCCTTGTGAAAGTCGGCGCTCATGATAGCTCGTTCGGCGAAAAGTGCATACTAATTCGGGGTGAAATTGACTCTTAGTCAGATCGCTTTTAAGCATGCAATACTCGAATTCAGTGCCGCTGTTTTTATCCGTTCACCCGCTCGTTAGCATGCCAACGCGCCGAAGGAATGGCAGAATAGGTTCGCCCATGCCACAGCAATCGATCCCACCACTGTATAGGCATTTGACGACTCAGTAACCACTTGCTTATTTATTATTTCCATTGTTATCTGTTATGCCCTTATGAAACCCATGGGAACAGATTAAAGGGTAGACCAAGGAAATCTGTATCACAACTATAAACAGCACTTCCATCTTGTTAGATACGCCTCTTCTCTACAACTAACCCGGCCAAAATTGCATTCACTGAACGTAAAGGTGCTCAAGAAGCTATTTTAAGTATAAAGGCTCAGCTAAATGAAAACTTCATCAGAACCATGGTCTGAAACCTTTACGCCACAGTCGTTCAGGAATACAAAAAAACTGCTTTTTCCTGCAACTGCAAAAACAGATATTTCCCGAAATAATAATTGCTGTTCCTCAGTTGTAAAGAGAAATTGTCAGATATAAGTTTCCGAAAAAAAAACTGATTCCATTGAATTGTTAAACCCGTCAAAGAATTGCAAAATGAGAGGCTAAATCTTTTGCTTTGAGAAGAAGCTCAATATTTTTGCCTACCAGCATTGCATGAGGAATGAGGTAAAGGGGAGAAGCACAGTAAGAATGGAACAGATGCGAAAACAGACGTGACTTTGACTGTGAACGTCATAATGGGGACATAATAGAGTCAGAGAGTAAACACGTATCCAATATGAAAAACAGAAGCCGTAATTACTACAAATACATATTACTGCCGCCTTTGGACCAAAATAGTTCCCAATGTGAACGCGTGATAGGGGAAACCGCATTCATAGCAAGCCCATTCGTTATGGGAAAATCAATTGAAGTTGGCAGCTTCAATAACGAAACCTTTGATTAAAATATTGGCCACAGCTGGAAAGCAATTTTTGAATTCAGATATTAAACACCGTATTTTGTTGTGCTCTCGAACACTTTCCGATACGAAAAACAAAGACCGTAATTAATGCGAAAGACTCAGCTGCCTCCCTACGTCATCGCCATTGTTCGTATGAGAAACCACAAATCACCATAGTTCAGTTTTTAGAATTGTCCAGTTAGCCAGTCAGTTCTCTTCAAAAACTTGACCGTACATATTTCACCACCCACAAAGAAGCGAAATATTAATTAAACCACTGACAATTTTCTTGTGAGATACATTGGGAAGGGTCTTTCTCTAAACTACGAATAGCGAAGAATCAAGAAACGTCATCGGGTGAACGCTGACCCTTATGGGTTACAAAATTTGTTGCTTTAAAGAGGTTTGAAAGAGACTGAGAAGCTTTCAAACGCACAAACGAACGAAACAGCAGGCTTTCACTTTCAAAATCTTTTACACTGCTTTAGTTTGAGATCTATATTTTGAAAGAAAGTTGAAGCTGCCTGCTGTCAGACTTGTCTCGCACAAAATCCACCCTTTTTCGTAGACCCTTGTCAAGAATTCATAAGACTTGGTCGATTTTCCCAACGAGTGCAGGCCTGTCCCAGAATACCTCATTATTTCCTTGGGTCACTCAACCCTTTCACTGCTAATAAAAAATAGGAATTACTGGAACGGCTATTTACCACTCTAAAAGGCTCTTCCGTATTCATTCCCAGTACCATTCCAGCCACGTTATGTTTACGCATTGGTCTGGTCTCACCAGATCGCACTGCAAATGTCTCAGCTACTCTATGTACATTACCAGAATTATGAATACTCAGAAGGAACCCAAAAACGACCTTCTAGAAGTAGAACACGATGTGGGCGTTCTCTAAAAATACTGAGGATTGGGGGAGACACCCATACGAAGAAAAAGGGTAGCTCTAAAAAGCTAGACACTTCTAGTCCGAGAGGGTAGAACTCTTGGCGATCTAAGGGCAATGAGATTTATTCTTATTTTGAATACATTAGAGTAGGAAACGTGGCAAATTGAGAGCCTGAGGGATGGACTTTAGCCGAGAACATCACAAATCGGATTATCAAATGCTTCTTCTACGTGAATTATGCATTCATTCAATCCAAGCCTGTGACGCAACTAGGATGATTCTCATTTAGATATAGATAGAATTCTTCTGAAAATGTCAACCGTAATGAACCGGTTCGAAAGGACAAACGAAATATCGACTTATGACGCAAAAAGGAGATACATTTTTCGAAGGCTTTCGTTTGATGTATTATAAAACAAAGATGAATAGTAGAAACCAGAAGAAACACTGAGCTCGGAATTGGCCTCCTCTCCCACGCGATTGTGCAAGTCAAACAATCGCCGAGATACTGTGAGAATGGAAGTTCAATGGACAAGATGGATGCTGAAGGGTTCACGAATAGTGAGGGCGTTGTATATAAACTGCATCTTTGGGAAAAATGATAAGCGACAGAGACTCTCTTCCAAAAAGCAGATGAATGCTGTGCCTGGTCGTGACTTGTCTTTTTGTCAAGAAACCTCAACTTTACAAACTTGACGTCTCGACTTTTCTCCTACCCTTCTTTCTCATCATTCTTTATTCAATATCTAGACCTGCTGAAACGTATACTACGGAATCATCAACGACATGTCTGGAACGTCTCATTCCAGGATGGTCTAACAAGCTCTGTCGCTTTGTCCAAGCGTTTTCCGCTTCACAGCCATGAAGAAGGGAGAGATGTTTCTGCCACAAAGGACTCGAAAAACCTGTAAAACGCCGAGAAGAGATTTGACTGAAGCCGTAGATCCCACCATTGATCGATTTTGTGAGCTATTCAGGTAGATATAAATTACAAGTTCTCTATAATAAGTTATAAAATCGACTGATCACTTTAGCGAGTGGCCCTGACCTTTGTCCTGAATCACATGTAAAATGTAATCGAAACAAGTGTTCGGGTATTTCAGGAAAGTCATTCCCGAACCATATACTACTTGAGCAAAATAAAGAGACTGGAAAGAAAAAATTAGACATGGAGTAATCGTCATGGCTCCGAACCCTGGGGAACATGCAAAATTGCAAAAAAAAAACAACAGGGCTTGCTAGATGTCGCGCAGAAGTAAAATGTTCAGAAAAAGTCATGAGTATGTAGATGAAACATTGCTGGCTTTTTTTGGAATGAAAAGTATTGAGTTGATTGTTGATGCACAAGGTTCAACAACTCGACTTCCTTGAGCGTAAGCCCCTCGAACAAAATCCTCTTAGTAGGCCCAATTTTGGGCTAAGAAGGGTCCAGTTGCGAGTACGTGCCCGAATTGATTTCGTTCTATGAACCAGTAAAGGCACAACGATAAGCCGAAAATTCACTCGCGAACCGGTTTACTGTTTGATTTTCACTTCACGCCTACTCTCATTCATATAAAGATGTGTAATAGCGACATATACCCTATCAGGTAATTTGAATAGCACAAAAATGAACAAAACCAAATACAACGAAATACAGTTATGAAGGAAACTAACGCCCCCAACTGTGAGCAGTGTAACCTGCTACGGAACACAGGAACACGCGGTGGGAGAATATGAACCATTAAAGTATAGAGCCAAAGTCTTGGGGCGTCAATCGATCCCGTCTGAGGGATGCGTCCACGTATTCGACTCCCATTGAGAATCGTAGTGGCGTATTGAATGCGTAGGTAGCCTATACAATGAGTTGTGGTGGCCATCCAACGTAGAAGTCAGAGCTTTTTTCCTCCCAGACGAGCCGTAGGGATGTAGGGCTCGATTGGCCTAGGCGGCTATCGATTCGGGATCCGAACACGTGACCATGCGTGTGTGAGAGTGCGCCACTGCCTTACACCACCTCCGCCCCTATAAACTTAAACCAAGCAGAATCTTTACACTCAGACTTGAAAAGTTCAGCAAAGATTTCAACAAATCGTCATATATCAACTTTCCTTCAGAAAATCTCTCGCAAACCATTTCCTGCTACTAGTTAACGGGGTAGTCCCCAATCCATTATCACCTTTAAGCTTCTGATATCATCCCACTACAACGAGAAACGGACTTTCAATCATTCACACTTGTACCAATGAGCGCTGTTTGGACCTCGCTTTCCACTGCTTCATGC